GGTTTAAAAGCATTAAGAATGATTTATGGATTTGTTTACTTACAGAATATGTGGCGCTGCAGTGTTTGCCGACGGAAAATGGCCTCACGTGTTTGCATACCGCAAGACTCCACAGATTCTATGCTAGACGTACCTGTGTTAGAGGCTTTACAACGACGTCATTCAGATGCAAAATTAGGTTCCAGTACGCAAACATTAGCACCGGCAAATGGTGCAGCTTTAGCACCTCCACGTAGTCCAGAATTAAGGAGACACTCGGATGTATCGCCTGCCTCACTAAAAGAATTGGAAAAGGTAAGTTTATGCCATCACACTAACCTGAAGCACATTATAAAGCAAATTTAATAACAAAGCAGTTAAAGGGTAACAAAACGCCGGGCGGTGATGGTGACTGGCGTGGCGGTGGACGTAGCATGGCACCAAGTCGTTCGTCAAGTCCACCACGTCAAGGTGAAGAGCCTGCATTTGGACCACCATTGTCACGTATTGCATCGAGACGTGGCTCACGTGTAGCACGACAGCATAGCTATGATGATGATATGAAAACTGGTGGTGGAGCAACTGGAACAGGTGGCATTGGTGCTGGGGGCTTGGGTGTTGGTGGTGATGCTGGTTTAGGTATACCCGCTATGCCAAGAAGGTATGTAGCTGGTACAATGTAGATAGTTCGAAATTTAATTTATTTATTTAATATTTTTATTCATAAAAGAAAATCTGCTTATGATGTGTTTGCGCCTGGCTTGATACAAGCAGTTGCAGCCGGTGCACAATTGCAACGCTCACCAGGTGATGGCATGGCACCACAAATAGCTTTACCTGGTTCACGTAGACCCAGTTTTAGGGTGCCACATCCATCTGAGGATTTACAAAATGATGAGTCACCTAGTCCTGATAAAGGTAGTCCTGTATTAACTGTGGACGATGACAGACGTATGCGGCGACGTGGTTCACAACTGTAAGTTTCAATATATATATAATATATTTTCATTTTGAGAAACATATATAGTAGATTCTATTTCTTTTACTGAAAATAATGTAATAATATTGTTTTTTTTCTTGTTTAATTTCATTAAAATAAACTAGTTTGTTTTTAAGTCAATATTACAGGGTTTTGATATTTTCTTCTGTCATTAACTTAAGAATATTTATCAATTATTTTTTTATTAAAAAAAATTAAATATCTACTACGAAATAACTAGGATCCATGATTTGACTTATTTTATATATTTAACTCTAAATATCTGTATTATACCCCTTATGTGTATATAGAGAATAGTGCCTTTCGGAACTGAAACTAAATCAATTTATACTAATTAAATTAAGTTTTGGTCGTTTCCATTGGGATAAGTTGATTTGTGCATGTGAAAGAGAGTTTATCGGTTAGAAAGTTTTGTGAATGTTCAAGGAGAGATTTCGTTTATTTATATTTTTCAATATAATTTATTTTTTTTTTAAATAAATAAACTTAAAATCCCTTACATACATTAAAAATAAAAATTTCAATTTATATTTGTATAAGTATATTTATATTTAAAATTTTTTAATATTTACAAATTATTATTGTAAGTGAAAATCTATTTTTCTTTTATTAAGACCTGACATAACTGCTCTTCGTGATCGTGGTGCTCTTCCAGCCACAATACCTGCTGCTATACCGCCACCAGTTGCTGCTTTTACAGGTCCCAACTTAGAGGATTTAGAAGCACCACGTCGTCAAACATCAATGGATGGTGAAGCTATTAAAATTGTTATACACGATGTTGATTCGGGACCGATTTGTTCATCAAAAAGACGTATTGTATTGCGTAGAGATCCTTCTGATAAAGCACACCGCAGTAAGTGTTATAAAAAAATTAAATATAATTTAAGTTTTATTTTATATAATTTTGAATTGAATTAATTTAATATAAATATACTCTTAGGTGATAGTTATTTGTTCTTAAGTACATATAATATTTTTTTTCAGTTTTTTAATGTTGAAATAATATTTGTGAAATCACTTAAAAGCTGTATATAGAGAAGAAAGTTTCATAACAGTTTATTTACCATAAACTTTCAAGTGCCGGTCTCCAAAATATGTTAGTATAATGTTAACAGACTTTTGAGGTACAAACGGATTTTAATAAAGTATAAAATACTCAGCATTTCCAATATCAAAACTCTAAAAAATCTCTTGTTAAAGTATTTCTTGTTTGGAACGGGGATATAAGCTCCTTGTGCAGTATTTTCTTCCTGAACTTACTCAAAGTCAGTAAGTCACAAACAATTCGACGAAATGTTTCGTCTTCTTTTAGGCTTAGCGTATATCATCATTAGCGTATATATCATCTCAGATAAATGTGTCATGTCAATATCGTAACGTTAATTAAAATGAATTTTTACTAGCATTTATTCTTACTAGATTTATTCTACTTAAAAGAGATGTCTCTTTTAGGTTACAGAGATAAACCACCTCGTTAAGCTTAGGAACAACTCGGTTTGTTAATCTACTAACATCTTTTCACTAATATGCAGTTTTTAATCAAAAACTTAGTTATAGACCAACTAATGACACAAAAAAGCTTTAATCGACAAGTTTGTATGACAGGTCCTATTCTTCGGATTTATACACATCTTAATCGATTACTTAATATACAATAAATTACAGTTTTGTCATATTTGAAAACATAGTTTTATCGCAGAAAGTTCATGTATCAATTTTAGTTTTGGGCGATCTTTACCAAGGCTTACTTCATAAAATCGATAGATTTACAGATTTCTTTTCATTGATTTTTAATCTCAACTTATTTTTTTTATTATTTAAATTATGTTGTAGTGTTATTACAATTCATTTAGTTCATGATTATACTACAGTCTCCAGCTTTAGTTTTTTTATATAGATCCAAGCACTTTATCATCACTTTTATATCAAATGTAGATAGATGCAAGACCAGGCACGAAGAAATAATAGAAATAAAATAACAAAAAAGGATTGAAATTTTCTTAATTCATTTAAAATGTTTTATAAGGACGCCACATATTTGAGCCGATTGGCAAACGAATCGCAATTTGTATTTTTTCATCTATTCTCAAAGAAAGACTTTATTGAGCACATCGATATTAATACGGACTTTGAATTGAAAACTGTTTTATAAAATGAAGTGAAGTGTATTTTCTCCTAGATTTTTCTCATTTTTTGTTGATTGGCAGAACTCCGTGTGTTTGTTACAAAGTTACCTTATTCTCTCCATAACTATTGACTTCCCATGGCTCCAGAGCACAGTATAAAACTTAAGACATATGCCTTAGTTTAGAAATATTATTTAGCTAAATAACCCATTATTTTTCTAAAACTAAACTAAATAGATTCAAATTCATTATTTATAACAGAAAATAAACACAATTACACAAAAATGGCAGGTATTTCATTGTGTATCTGTTAAGATTAATTGCTCTTAAAACGACACCAAGGTACTACATTTTATTGAAAACATATAGAAAATAAAAAATACATACAAAAAGTAAAAAGTAGTAGGAAGAAAAATCCTTTTAAATTTTTGAATGCAGTTTTCTTCTTATATATACACCTAACTTATATGAACTTTGATTGATCCATAAAACTTGAACATAAAGTAATTCATATGGAAATGAGCAGTAGAAATAAGTGCACTTGAAGGTGTATACACATTTGAATAGTGAGGCGTATGTATACTCGTATGCAAATTCCTGTAACTTCCGTATTGTAACAAATTTGCATAGACAAGTTAAGAACTCCTTTGCAGAACTGCAGATTGTGTAGTCATCAAATAAGATTTCGACAAAGATGAAGCAATAGACTTGAATTATGCTTAACGGCATCGATAGTTGCTCTTATATTGGCTTACGAGAATTACGAGCATTACGAACCACGTTTGAGTTTATTGGAAATGCAGCTTATGTTACCGCATGACTGCATATTCCTTAAGTGCACAATTTTCCGCTGTAATTGCGTTGCATTAAAACCCATTTTCAAAATGGGTTCCGCACAGAAATGCCATAAGCGTTGATATGCATTAGTGTAAAGATGAGGCCCGTAAATAAATTTGCATAGATGCTTTCAATTCTGTTAGAAAACAAAGCAAATTTAACTTCACTGACGAATGAATTTTAAATATTGATTATTTTACCTGCAGTGATGATATGAGATTAAAAGAATTTTTTTGAATTAAAATATTAAACAATTCAGTGCATTATTTGCAATTAAATTTAGTAAACTCAGAGAAAATTATAAAACTTAAACAAAATAGATCATCTGAAAATAACATCTGCATTACATGCTACACAACACACAAAAATAAAACCTTAAGAGTTGTTTCTTCTATGAAAAAAATAAAGTACAAAAATCGTCTAATATCGCAAACTCGTTGAAGAATAAGAGGAACTCCATATCATGGAAAAGTTGTGCTATATCGCACAATCTTGTACTTCACTTTCAGTAATATATCTAAGAGAAACCTAGACCTTAAAAAGATGAAATAAAAATAAATTAAAATTATTTGATATAAAAGTGATAATGAAAGTTTTTGGATCTACGAGTATATAAGAAAACTGACACTGGGGACTGTAGATTAGAAAACTATATAATAAATCATTATTATTAGATAATAATTAAAAAAAGATCGGGCAAAATTTAATTTTTAGTTAAACTGAATAATCTTGTTTTTGTGCTTCTTTTTTTAATAAAATTTATATAATTCTGATTTATGTACTTAAAAAATAGATAAATATTTTCATATATATTTCCCCTTCACATGCAAATAGAAAAGGTTGTCATATTGTGAATATGTTTGCAAAGACGTCATCACTTTTTAATAATGAAATGGCAATTCGTAGACTGACATAAAGTTTCTTTATTAAAAGCAATATAAAATAATATTTTAATCCAGTTATATTATTCTTAATACATTTTCTTTTATTATTGGAAATATTTTTTCAAATTTAACTCAAACATAATTTTATGCTTTTCTGATTATTGAATTTTCTAGAGAATTCATATAGAAAATATAATATATAAAAAAGCTCATTACTATTAATTGCTATACAAACTATCATCCAGCACATATGTGGGCAGTTTCATGAAATCCAATATTGCTTACACAAAAGTATCTTATCGTAAAAAAACTTGAAGCAATCATATATTCAAAGGAGACTGTTGGACTAATCCGTTGCTTGCTTGGCAAAAATAAATGGCACATTCTAATAAATTCTAATCGATTTTCAATTTTCCGCAAATATTTGCATTCGTAAAAGGAAATACGTTTATAACAACACTGGATATTTTCACTTGCAAATCACAGTCAACATCTGTTCAACACCACATTGTCCACTTTCACTGCTCAGTTTAATGAAATCCATGGGAGTTGCTGTTGAAGTAGTTCCTTCTGAATATTTATAGTTTAAACGATGAGCACAGTTTGTTTGCATCTGGAATTCCTCTTGAAATGTTAACAAAGCACTTTTTGTTTTTATCTTTCTCTTTAGAAATTTATTTTTCATTTTTTTGTTAAGAAAAAATTTTTTATTTTAAAATCAATTTATTTTTATATATATTAATTTTTTCACTGCAAAAATATTTAAAAATCAAATTAAATATATATTTCATACGACTACAATTTGCACTAAATTTAAAAATTAAATTTTTATTAACTGTAGTCTTAAATAACTTCAGTTGTGAAATTATCTGCAGATTAAATAACTTGCATAGTCACAAACAAATTTAAACAATTTCCGTTTAAAATATGTAAATTTCACAATTTATTTTTGTTTTCTCCACATTTCGCTTCATAGTTGAACTCTGCCGGAGGCAACCCGGCACAACCCAGCGCAACCCAACGCAACCCAGCGCAACGACTGTTTAATACGGCAGCTGCACATCCTGAGGAATGCTATTCGCTCAGGGATTAGCAGTGCCACATATAAGATTATTATGCGAAAATTATTATTGAAATTGTTATTATGTGAAAGTTGAGATTTGTGTAAATGTACACGAATGGGATAGTATATATTTATATTCCCAGTAGTATTTCCAAACCATATGCCGGGGAACAATGGAATGTCAAAATTATAATATTTCAAGGCTGACTAAAATTTTTAAACATATGGATGTACATTTTATATTAGTTGTGAAAAACTATCGATTATTAACATTATAATTTGTGCTGGTTTGCTTTTCAGCATGTATAATAATTTATAGATACAATATTATTTATAATAATATTGAGATGAAGAAAAAGTGGTCGACATTTTCCTGTTCACTTGACTTTCAGATATTATAACTATAATATGGATAACTGCATCTGTTTATTCCTATAGGTTTTTGTTAGATAAATAATATATATAAATTTCTTTAATTCCTAAGAGTTAAAGAAAGAAATTTATCTGTGGACCACACAGATAAATGATAGATTATTACTTATTTAGAATATCACAAAATTTTTTAAGAACATTACAATATTTAAGTTTTGTGTTAAAACTAAGATAAAGATTAGCCATTTTTTTAAAAATAAAATAGATTTTAGCAAAAAATTTTTAAAATATATGTATATCGGTATTCCATAGTGAACCCAATGTGTACCTATAGAATACAGTTAAGGTGCATAAGAAGATACAAATATACTTAAGTATATAAATGTATCAATCCAAAATTGTAGGATTACTATTTAACTCATCATAGTTCATTAAAAACAGTATTATATATTAAGCTCTTAAGATTTTGACTTTCCTGGAGAAAGTTCTAAGGTAGTATATAAAAAACCATTAACAAAAACCACTAACAGCTATTTTGATTGACGAACCTGATAAAAGTAAGAGACCAAAGATCCACCGCGTTTTAGTTCGTTTCATAAATAATGAATATTATATCGTTTCAGGATAACTAATATTTATTTAAGAATATTTAATATTCTTAAACTCTACAACTTATTTTAAACATATGCCAGAATAACCGTACCGATTAAACACTTTGTACTTGACATGATTTGATTAGGAAATATAGTTTCAATATGAATAGAATAATTTCTTTTACAAATCGGACAGATTTTGACAAAAAATTATCTCTGATTTGGTTGAAATTTTTTTATGAGCTTCTTTCATTAAATAGGAAGATTCGTATATCTAGATATAAATGTTGACAATTTTTTTTCTTACGAGATATACACCCACAGGGTTTTGACAATTAGCATTGTTGACGCATTTTTAAACGACCATATCTCAGAATCTATAAATAATAGAAATTTGAAATTTATTGCGTTCAGAAGATAATTGATTAAATTTGAATAAATAGTTTAAAAACTAAGGTTGCTTATATTTAAATACTAATATTGACCATTAAATTAAAAAAAAAATTATCCAAATGTGTTCCGTAAATTTTCATTTTTTATATTTTATTTAGATACAATGTTTAATTTTACTAAAAAATCAAAATTTACAGGATGACATTATTT